ATCAAACTGCACGATAACATAGAAAGGGGTCCGGGTCAAATTTGATCAGATGGTATACTATATAAACTTGCTATAACCAAATTTTGTGAAAATAGCTATTATATATTTTTAACTTAAAGATTTTTTTTAAATACTCTGCGCGTTTATTTGAGTATACATAACTTGTCGTGTGCTATTTCCAGCTTATAGTTGTCTTCGCGTTCTTTTTTCCATTGACGGCTCTGTATAAATTTCCATTTTTGATTATCAAATTAATTTCGGAAATGTTTGTTAAACATTTATATGCGTACGCATACATGCACATCCCAACGCATGAGAAGCGTGTTGTTCCGAGTATTTGTATGCTCTGTGGATACCTTTATCGGGACGGTTGTGCCGCAAGCGAAAAACTATATTGATTGTCATTTTCATTTATTCATGCACTCAAAATTTTCTTTCAATCTTATTTCAATATTTTAGTGATTATTTCAGCCCGAAGTTACCTTTGCCGCCCTTGTGATTGTTGCGCACATTTTTTGTTTAATATACAAGTAATAAATACTATAGAATCTTAAACAGGGTATACTAAATTTGCCACACGAAGTTTATAATACCCATAAAGACACATCGGACATCCTATGAAGTATATGTATAAATTACTAAATTATTAGCGTAATGAGTTAAGCCGATTAAGTTTTCAGATATTGATCAGAAATTTTGCACATGTTATTTTCTCCTCAAGGTGTTGTAAATTTGTCGAAACCGCCGATATCGGACTACTAGAGGATATAACTGATCGCTCAAAATCAAATCATTGTATGGAAAACGTTTTTATTTGACAAGATATCATCACAAAATTTGTCATCAATTATTTTCTAGGCAACGGGCTACAAATCCGGAACAAATTGTTTAGATCAGATAGCTTATAACTGTCATACAAACTGACTGAACAAAGTCAGAATAAATACATTTTTATACTCTTTTATTCAACAAAAAATGCACATGTGAAGGGTATTATAGCTTCGGTACCGCTGAGAGACCAAAAGTAAGGGTGGAGGGTGCTAACAGGTCATTGCCTACCGGCGTCGATGCTGTAAGGTTAAGAATACTACCGTCCGCCAGTTGCCGAAGCTGTACGGAGAAAGACGAGGTGAAAATATCATGTCATGCCATGTGTTTGCGTGATCAAGGCTTAAACACTTAGGAGCTCACACTTTCAGATATCCCTCCATGCTGGTGGGAACATAAATTGAACGCCTGAGAAAATTTCTATTGTTCACAACGCTCCTTACCGACTTATAAAATCAAATACAAAAAAGGATTGCATATATTATAGTTCAATCGCCATCTCTGGGTTAGCCATCCGAAGCTAAATTAACCTCACCTAAGAGTGGCAATAAATAAGAAATTCATTATCGAGCCTCTTCAAAGTGGGGATCAGTACACTTAATGTTCATTAGTTTTAGACCGCTTGGGATCTCTATTATTATTTTTGTAAATCTGTTCCCCATTAAAATTGTTTTTAACGATCAAGTAGAGGCTTCTTAGTAACTAGTGATAGCCGAGTATGGCTAAAGCACCACAAAAAGTGGCAGAATCGGACATCTTATCTGCAATTATGTAAGTAAGCGCTAGTTTATACGTGGCTGCACATTATTGCTCCGAGTATCACGACATATTTTGTAACAATATTTGTACTTTGAACCACCATTTTAATTGTTAACATGCCCCAGTTCCAGTCATATTACAATTTATTGGCTTTTTAATAACGCACTTTATAATCTTGGAGACAAGAGCGACTTATGTTTCATAGCCCCATTTCAGAGCAGTGCTGAAAGCTAGAAGAAGGCGTTTTGCTTTCAAGTGAGCGGCGCTCGCTATAACGGGCATGTTGCTACTATTACCGTTAGCTGGACAGCCAGATCGTTGCATACGCCCGCTGCCTTGCTTCCGCGCCATTAACTATGCAACAGTGCAACAATAACAACATATATAGCCGTAGCTATGAACTGTAATGATTCCTTTGCAGTGTGGCAGGCCTTTTGTAGTCTTATGTGTGTGTATGTATGTGCGTGTAGTTTCACTGTTTGCTGCAAGAAGTTAGTTGCTACGAAATTCAACAGTAAAAGCGTGCTTGTTGTTGTTGTGCTTGTTTACTTGTTTGACTGCACTTTAATTTCACTGCATTTATTGCGTACCTTGCTTATCAAAGTGCAAAGAGCAGACGAAAGAGCTGCCCGATGTTGTGCGGACCAAAGTACACATAGCTGCAATGCGATACTGCTGCGCGCATACCCCACCATTCCCCTGTTTATCTAGTAAATAGGCCATTGCTTCTTATAACCGTTAACATTATGTTCATATTGTTGTTTACTTAGTTTGCTATTTTTCCATCTTTCGTAAATTCAAATTTTAATATTATCACAATATATTCTCACTAAGACAGTGTCTCCGAAAATTGAAAGACAGACAACAGGTAGTTCTTAAATAGGAATATTGCTGCGTGTGTTCCGCAGAGCAAGATTGTGTTAGGCTCCCAAATGTATGCTACAATAAATGAAATGTTTTGAACCACTGTTATATGGCTCAAAAGCTTAACTCTGGTACAGAGAGTTAGTTTAATTAATCTTTGACCAGAATTTGTTTTGAAAATTTCTGCTGCTAGAAAAATATGCTAAGGGTTTATGTTAAAAGTATGCAACATTGTCGAACTTTTTTTTCAAAGTTTTTTCGGGAATTGAAATTATGGCACTGGAAATACTTTTGATGTTTATCTGATCTATAGTTAAACAAATTGTGCAATATATTTTTTATGATCAATTAATTATATATAATTTCACTCCAAACCTCAAAACCATACATCCAGATCCTTTGCGGCAGGGTCATGCGAAACAGAATATATTGTAGTTCAACTTAACATTCTTGCTTCTTAAGCATTGTTCTACTGTGTGCTAAATAAGTATGGCGACATGTGCATATTCATGTATGTATGTAAGCGTATATGTTTGAGGGCAAATGTACGAAATATGCACGAGAATAAGTCGTGTTGGAAAACGACAACCCAGAAGCTAAATGCACTAAATTTGCAGCTTTTGTGGAACTCGACTTTACTGAAACTCTATTTTGAATTTGCATTCCTTCACTTGACTTGGGAAGATACTCAGTTTCCAGGAAAAACTGGGATACGGGATTGCATGTGTGAGTGCAGAGCTTTCGTGAGTGTAATGACAATGTTAGGGCGATAAGCCTGGAATGCCGTAACTCGAGTTTTATGTAAATTAAAAAAACTCTTTGCAATTCTGCAAAAGCGAAACTAAGAGAAGTGCATGAAGAGAGTGAAAGCTTGCAAGCAGCGCTGAGCGGAGAGTAAAGCTCGCGCCTAAACTAAACTGGGAAGCGTATTCAACAGTGTTGCAAGCGTGTTGTGCCTTACATACCTTTGCAGTTTGCGCTTCAGCTGCTGTTGTTGTGTTCGATGTAGTCATTGGCGACGAGTTGAAAGCACGCACAAGTGTTGTCCTGTGTATCCTGTGGCATATAATTTACACTCTCCGTGTATTTTTGTATACCATATCTGTAACTTTATAACGGCACTCATCCACTCCCACGCCAATCTCAGTGAATGTAGGTCTGTATGTTAGCGCCTGTGCGTTCAACCGTGACGTGCCGTGCTACATACAACACACCATGTTTATCATTTTCAAAATGAATGCTCACACACATGCTATGCTCCTACATATGTTCATAGAATACTATATAAATATAAGTGTGTGTGTGTTTGTGTGCGTCGATGCTATGCATCGCTATGTTTGTAATTTACGGCTCGCACACTCGTTGCTCGCAGCTTTTATGCTGGCAATATTAAATGTGTGGGGGTGTAGCTGTTATTTTATTAATGCCCCAATGTTATGCTTATGCCTCGCCTGTCCTTGCAGCAGCCTCCCTTACGCTAAGCACACACTTACAGCTGGTGGCAAGGGGGCGATTTTTCATTCATACGAATTTTCTTTAAATTAATTTTCTGTGCTTTGAGTGCCACACGCACACACAACTAGGCACGTTGAGGCAGCTGTTGGTGGTGCTTTTGGCTATTCAGTTGTTGCATTGACTTTGCGGTTGACTGCGCAAGCACGTGTGGGTTTCATATTGTTGTTGTAGAAAAATTTAATGAATGAGAGCGCAGAACTGCAGGCTTGAGCGGGGTTATACGTAAGCTAAGTGAGGGCATGATACAAATTTAATATGAATAACATTTGTGTACGAAAATGATAGGAATGTAGAGAGTTGCATCTCATCACTTGTTGGTGTATATTGTTTAATTTCAACTAAATTAGAGTTAATATACAAGTACATAAAAAGTCTGTTTTATCTATAAAATTAAAATAATATAAAGAAAGTATTTTTATTTCAAACTTTTTTTAATGAAATCTTTCAAATTTATTTATGCGATTATTTCTAACTATTTTCCGTTAACTCCATTTTATTTCGATTTTTCCTCACATTTCAATACCATATTAACCCTATTACACTATTAGAAATATTGAGTCCTAACAAACAGAATGACCTAGGTTATAAAACAAGTTTGAAAATTAAATTTTAATTTCTACTTGACACTTCATTTCACTTAGAAATACATTCAATCTCATTCCGTTTCATCCCATACCAGAAAAATTAAAAGAAGAAATATATGACATATGTATGTATATTTTTATACTGCCAACGAAAGCTTACAAAGCTTTGCAATCTCTTTGCTGTGTCATTATCATTACTTTACTCTAAGCATTTCTCTTCATTTCTTGTTAATAAATTTCTCTTAACAATTCTGCGTTCGTCCTCTCTAACGTACAGCTTCCTTATGAGCATATACACATACCAGCGCACAAGTGGAAAATAATGAAAGAATTCACGTTACAGCTCAACTCAGCACCGTTCCAGCATCTGCAAAGGATTACAAAGCCAGACATACTTGCACTCCGCTCCAAGTTGTGGAAGTGGATGTTGGAGTCCTGCTTCCACGAGACTTCGAGCTCCATGTCTTTCGTGCCTGGCTTCAAGCGCCAGCACTGCAACGCCTTTCAGTTGGTGTTCCGGTTTCGGGTTGTGCTGTTCGTTGCCTTTTCCTCCTAAATAACAAACGTGTCGTTTTCTCATCCATCTACATACATACACATAAACATACATACAAATGTACATACATACGCATGCACATATAAACATATATCAGCATATACAAACGTTGTAATGCAAAGGGATGTTGAAGCGAAAAAAAAATATTGAAACAGTAAATATGGACATTGAAAAGTGAAAGAAAACATTTATTGTTGCAAAAAAAAAAAATTATAAACATATGTGTGTGTTACTGTATCAAATAATTTAAATAATAGTGTTGTGGAAAATACTTCTGTATGCAGCAGGTGAAGAGAAAAACAATAAAACAGCAAAGACTTTGGTTTAGTAAAATTCATGGACTTTCGAATATATCAAACGAGATTGCGAACTTTTTTTCAAAATTCGGAGCTGAAAGTGATTTATTTGGTAAAAACTTAATCAAAGTGTTTTGAAAATTTGGAGTTTTAGAATTTTTTTTTGTGTGCTTTGTGTGTTGAAATTGAAAGAAAATTTTAAAGTTTTTCTTCTAAATATGCAAACAAAATTCTTGAAAAATATTTAGCTTTACAACTTTTTTGTTCTGTTTCTGTCATTGCAGGGAAAGGGAATAAATAAATCAATACTATTCAACGCTTTTTAAAAATAATTAAAGCAAACTTTTTTTTCTTAATTAATTTAAGTTTTTTGTTGGTGCTTTAAAAGGCTTGGATTTCCAAATTATTTTTTTAGTTTTTAATTATATTCCTTCGATAAATTCAAGTCTTAAATAAATAGAAATACAAAAAACCTTCTGGATATCTTATACTACAAATTTACACTTAAAAAAAAAAAAAACTCTGTAAGATCGTTTAGTATGAAGACCATTTGAAAAACCCAAAAAGCAAAGATTTAATAGAAAAGTAAAGTCAAAATGTGTTGCAGCTGCTGATAAAATCCATTGTTTACTATCTGTAATAATTCGGTTTATTCTCAAAATATTAGTATGCTATAGCTATAGCTGTGAAGATCACAAGTGATCAGTGATATTGTTTGTTTAAAATAAAAGAGAATTTCGAAAAGTAGCTAGTTTATTCAAAAATTAGCTTGAAAATATTTGAAGAAGTGTAGACAGTTTCTTGGAATTTTTTTGGTGCAAAGGGCGACCAGTACCACGAATCGACTTTAATTTATCCTTAGCCTAGCTTTTTTTGATCTAATTGACACATACAAGTATATATTATTCCATCTTGACAAACAATAACGAATTTAGAAGGCAAGAAAAAATTATCAAGGTCCATACATCAAGGACAAGATACCTTAAAATTTTTAATCAAACAACTTCAAAACGTGTTTGCGTTTAACTTGTTTTAAACTAGTTAAAAGTCTTGACTTAGCGTACATAGAATAAAACGTTTAATGCTAATAATAAAATATTATAATGGCTTTTTGGATAGAGATTTTGAAATCACCAACTTTGTTCTAATTTATTGTAGTGTTTTTGGGAATTATTAAAAAAGCTATCAGTGCCATGTTTATCGGGCACTTTGAGCTTCGTTTACGAATTTTGTACTATTTTTTTTTTTTTAATTTAATGCCTTCAATAAAATAAGTTAACTAAAAGAGCTTGACAAGGGAATAACAGTAGTAAGCATACATTAGCGCGACACTGCAAGCAAACCTGTGCGGCAGCCAGCCAGTCATCCAGGCTCAAAGCGCACTCCTGCTTATCAGCTACGACTGGAATGACAGCCTGGCAGCTGGCGGCATCAAACAAAGCCAACTACTATCCATTGTGTGCTGTTGGCGCTGGTCCACGTTGCTGTTTTTCACTTTTCCAAAATCGAGAGCAGACAAAACGCACAATCCCGTGCTACTACACTGCGGAGCGACACAGTCCCAGTGCCACTTTCGCTCCCGTTGCTGTTCCCATTTCCATTTTTGTTCGTGTTATCCTTTCCGACTTGCTGCCAGTGACTGTGAACTCGCTTTGTGTGTACACATACACTGTATTTGCGTGTGTGTGTGTGTGTGTGTTTGTCTGTGTGCCAGTGTCAGTCGGTTTGTGCGTGTGAATTGTGCAGTTTCTGAATAGATGTTGAATTTCGCTTTCGCTTTTGCCACAGCCGACTATGCGAAAGCAGCGAAAGGGGCGAAAAGTGAAATTTCCCAACACTGTGGCTCTGGCTGAGCTTGAGCTTGAGAGCAGTTGCCCGCAAAACTGTAGCTGAAAATACACAACAAGCAGAAAAAAAACGCACGAAAAACAGAATGATAAAGGAGCAAATGCGTGCGAAGGTTTTGCTGCTGCTGCTTCTTCGCATCGTTATCGTTCGACGCTCTTCGTCGCCTCTCGCTGCGACCACCCAATATAGCGGCACCGCGCAGCAGCTCGTGTTCGTTACAACCACGACGACGACGATGATGATATGTCGTTTTCGGTTTCCAGTGTTATGAGCTCGTTAGCGTATACGCAAAATTTTCGTCCTTTTTAGCATGTGTCTCGGTCAACGGTACACTGTTGCATTTCGTTGTGCGTTGAAAAAGCCAAAACTGTTTCTATTCACTGGTAAAAAATCTACTAAAATCATAAATGTGTTTGCAAAGTTCATTTATTATAAGTTTTTAATTACTTGAGGATATTTATAGCTGTAGTGCGGTGCATAAGTTGCCCGGCTGTTCGCAGCAAAGTGCAAGTGAAGGACGAAGTGAGTGCTGCTGTGAAAGTGAAATGTGAAAAAAGTTTTTGCTGCCGAATAACAGGTGCCTGCTGTTGTGCGTTCCCCTCGACGCCCTGCAGTCCACACGTGATTTTTCTCTTGTGTGCTTCTTCTTTTTCGCCATATAGTCCGTTCCCTCGATTTCCTGTTCATCTCACAATGCCAGCCTCCAATTAAATACATTTTTTTCTGTTCTGAAATACGCTTTTGACTACCAAAGCCTTCTGGTTTATATTCTGGTTATATTATATTTGCATGTTCTCTCTTCAATTTAGCAACGTGTGTGTCCAATGTATTCACTTTTAATTCACTAAAATAAATTCGGAAACCGCACAAAATAGAAAGTGAAATTATTCACTGAACACCCTCTCCTCTCGTTATCTGCGAAAGTATTTCAAGTTCATTGCAAGCTGGTTGGTGGAACAGAAACGAGCGGAATCGCTGAGAATATGCTGTGTATTTGTAGTGCGAAGCCATAGATATAAAATTAGATTCCACAAAACAGAAAAGCTGTTAAAAATAAATTGGTTATACTAGATGGAAAAATTATGCTCGAAATTATAGACAATATTGTGACACTTGGAAATACAACACTTTTATATCGGATTCAGCCAATATAGTTGCCAATTGCGGGTTCTTCAGTTCTTGTTCCTCAGCACTAATTTATGTACGATTTCATAAAAAAAATCTATTTATATATTGTACAAAACTTGTATATGTATATTGCCTTGCTGGTTTCATTCGTTTTCCTGTCTACAATTTGGCCAGAAACCCTTTAAATTTCAAACCTGAAACCAACGACGCTCTAATATTTTTTGTCTGAAATCTTAATCATTCTTGTTACGAAAACTCTTTTAGGAGCTAGAGGTTAATCAAATTGTTGTTCGTTTTTAGTAAGCTTCTTATCAATAAATGAAGTCGGCGTATTATATATAGCTTACCTAATCATTCAAGATTTCATGTCTTTCGTTACAAATAAATATATGTTCATACAATTCCCTCGAGATCAGTTCTACGGATATGGTCATCATCTTTGGTTCTTTGGTTTTGGTTCAGGTCTCTCTCATCATGAATAAGGTATATTAAGCCTTTCACAAAGTTTGTAACACCCAGAAGGAAACTCGATCTGAAATTTTGCACACACTTTTTTTCCTTCAAGAAGCTTTTTTTCAGATCCGCTGATATTGGACTACGATAAGATGTATATAATACCATATGTCATCCTACTAACCGATCAAAATCTAGTTCTTATGTGGAAAACTTTTTATTTCACCAGATATTTTCACAAAATTTGGCACAAGTTATTGTTTAACCCAAGGCTATAGTATCCGAATTAATTGTTCAGAAAGGGCCACTATAGGATCCTCCTATGCTATAAGAAATATTAGTCCAATTGAAATTGAATTCCAAATGAGACTACATTTTGATCCATTACTGAATATAACTTGAATAAGATATGAAATGCTTAGATTATTTATATGGTAAAGCTAAATGTGGCAAGTTAATAAACCGCACCATCTGCACGCCCACAGCGCTGTAGGTACTTAAGTGCATTGCACTTATCCACCATGCCATGAAAATGTTGCTCATTTTCAAAGTTAATTGCCAACACAATGAGCAAACATAAAAGTATGAATAGCCGAAACACAGCATGAATGAAACACACAGCAACCGGTGGATGTTTGTGCTGATGACATGCTCTTGCTGAGTTTTTGTCTAGTCTCTTTTGTTAGTGTTTGTGCGTACTCAGCTTTGAAGGTCAAATGAAGGCATCAAAATTAATGAGAAGTGCCGCTATTAAAAGAGGAAAACAAAAAAATTGTTGGATTTTTTTTTGTGTAGTTTAGAATAACGTATGTATTAAATGCTTGTTTATATATATATGTATGTGTGTGTAGCGAAGCACAATATTTGATGAAATTACATATTTATTTTTTATCTTTGCAGGGTGCACACGAACAGGCAACGGACATGAGGCGGGCACAGAGTGACCATAGGACACGCACCTGTGAGTAGATGAAGGAGAGAGATAGCAAAGTAACAAATAAAAACTTAGATAAAACAACAAAAGCTCGAGGAAAAAGGAGGAAAATGCACGAAATTAAAGGCGGTGGAAGGAATGTGAATGAAAAACAGTGATGAAGGTGTTAAAAAAAAAACAAAGAGGGATAATTTTGATTCAGAAAAATTAACGAAAGCGTAGTGCAATTCAGTGAGTAAACTAAAACAATTGCGGTGTGTGATAGAAAGTTTAAAGTAAAACTGAAAGCAGCTAAAAATGCTGACGATAAAAACTATATAACAAGATTTAAAGTATTGTTGGGAATTGGCATATAAAAAACCGCAGCAACACGCCGAACAGCAACAACGTTTATGTTAAAAAAAAAAATTGCGAACTTTAAAAAATTTAAATTAATAACGAAAACGACGAAAATATAAAAAATAATAAAATATTGAAACACACATTTGTAATTCTGTGTATATTATTTGCAAAAATAAGTGTAAAATGCGGCTACAAACCGCGCTCCAAAAAAAAATCGCTTAAATTAAACTAATCAGAAAGCACGAATATTGAAACTCTGCGAAAAAACGACAAAATTCAATTAATTTCTATTATATAGAAACGATTGGCCGCGCAAACTGAAAATAAAATTACTGAAAAAAGCTAAATTAATTAAAAACAGCAAGTGTCATTTGCAGCTAACGCCTGCGCTGCGTCGACGTTTTCATTTAATGGCGATTACATAAGATCAAAGTAGTTAAATTAAACAAATATTATGCAAAGTAAAGTCTAAACAAATTGTAGTTGTAATTTGGCAAAAAATCACGCACACATTCATAAAAGTAAATATTAGCATAACGGTATAAATAATTAGAAAATAATTAATGTCAAATTTCATACAAAACTAGCCTTTAAATAGCTGTAAATTAGTTCACTTTAACAGCCAACAAAATTAGCAAAAATATTTCAGCAAATACATACAAACCAAAAAATCATAAGCAAATCACTTACATAACAAATTTTGTGTAATTCAGCGCATTTAAAGTAAACACAATATTTACATTGGTGATTGTGAACTGAAATTAATTGATAGCGAATAAATTAATAACAGCAAAAATCAGAAATTAAATAACACTTAAAAAAGCAAATACAAAAACATAAAAAAAATAAAAGAACAAAAAAAATTATAATAGAAAAAACTTCTCAATGTCCTTCTATGGAAATCCTCGCATTTAAAGTTTAATATCAAATATTTGCTTAGGCGCTCATTAAACGAAAAAGTAATTGTATAAAAAATCGTGTAACTGAAAAAAAACTCGTTCAATAATTGCATTAATATTAACATAATATAATATTGCATAGATTTTAGGATTATATTGAAATATGATTGTCTCTTACAAATAACGGTGTTGTGTAAATTACGGTTAGAGTGTATTAAATAGCAACTGGACTTTTGAAGATTTTGAAGCTGAGCAGCTAGCACGCACAGAACACTAGAAGAGGTAAGTGTTCTCTAATATTTCATATAGTTAAAATAGATAATGCAAATACAACAATTATCGTTAAAAATTTCTGACCCATATCCGCATACCTTTTTAATCGAAAGTTGCGCTTTGTTCGTTAGATGAAGTGCCTTGCGCTGATCACGTGCTCAGCCATAATTACTTGCCATCGCTTTTTATGGTGTGAAACTTAAGTACAACATAATGTAGTATGCCTGAATGTAGGCAACGATTTTTTTCAGATTTTTGGTATATTAGCTAAAATAATGTTTTGTCGCTTTTAAATTATAGCACGAAAGCTCTAAGGCGCACGCCTGGTATGACAGCGACTTTTGGCAATTAAAAAAATAGACACTATACCAATTCTTTTAAAATTTCATGTTAACGTTTATGCATAATTTGAGAGTACACAGTAAAATTAAAGCAGTTATATGCTGCAGTGGACCGATATCGTCAGTTCCGAATGAGCAGTTTCTTGGGAAGTAAAGGCAGTGTGCAAAATTTCAGATCATTATCTTAAAAACCAAGGGACTAGGTAGTTCGCGTATATACAGATAAACGGACAGACAGATGAACATGGCTAAATCGACTCACCTTGTCACTCTGATCATTTATGTGTATATCTTGTAAGGTCTTCGGCGTTTCCTACTGGGTGTTACAAACTTCGTGGCAAACTTAATATACCCTTTTTAGGATATAAAAATACTAGGGGTTAATGTCAAACACATGTGTTTACTTTGACAACTGGTTTGACAGCTATACCTTTTGTAAATTCGGCATCTGCAAAATAACACCATACTTATATACATACATGTATACCACATATAAAATTAAAAATTTGCTAAATGCTTTCGTATGACAGTTTCAATGACATTTCCTGAATAACAAGCGCTTTTTTCCATTTGCTCATCAAAATTGTCACAATTTTCTCAATTTCAAGCTGATTTAACAGCATAAACCCAAACAGCATGTGTTTGCGTTAAACCATTATTAGTTTATCAGAACTGTATGCCTTTGTCAAAGGCAGGAAAAGAGAACGCAAGAACAAGAAGAAAGGCATCAGCCAAAAATTTATCGACAAACGAAGCAAAGCAAAGCATAATTCCCACACTGCTGCTGAGGGCGCCTGACAGCAGGAAAGGAGATAACTAAAGAGCAGCCTAAAAGTATACTTCAGCTCATGCAGACATAAGTTACACTTGAGTGTGTGAGGATGTGTAACAAACGAGCGTGTCTTTTTATAGAATATATGAACGTAAAAATTAAAGAAAGAGGTGAATGAAAGCACCATGGCATGGGACGAAAAGGGCCAAACAGAGTGTCATTAACTTTCACCTCATTAAACACAAACTCGAGTATAGCTTAAGCCGTACTTCAATACTATAAATTCCACACTACTAAATTTTATCTGCCATCCTCAAGCTCGTCTACAAATGCTGTAAATCCTTAGACTGCGGAAACACAGGCACTAAGCCTAACAGCCACACACCCATACATACATACAAACACCCAGAAGCTCACATAGCTAACAGCAAACGAATCAGCAGTGCAGAATTTACTTGTAGGCGTGCACATATACACACATACAAGCACACATACAGAGAAAAACTTTTGTGTATGTAAATACATACATTCGCGCATTAGTGGCAAACAAACAAAGCAAAGAGCAGGAAAGTAGGGGCGAAAAAGTTTCGGGGTATGCGACGAAACAGAAATAAGTTGAAGAAAAGTGGTTCAACAGCAACAGTGCAAATTGTGTAAATAAGTAAGTGAGGCAAAGCAGCTGTGAAGTGGCAAATGGCGGCTGAGGCCCCGTTCACACCCGTTCAGCCCGAGCGAGCGATGCGCTAAAACCGCGCCACTTGTTGTGCAGCGTACGGGTGTGTGTGTGTAGTGCTGAGGCGTAGTGGCATAAAAGGGATACTCGGAGGCATATTTACGACGCTGTTGGTAAACATGTGTATGTGTGTGTGTGTTACTGCACTATTTGCCTCGCTTTGTTTTCATGCCTGCAGCTTTTTTCGTGTGACGCACTCATACATGCATAACAGTATTTATTTCTGGGTCGTAGACTTTTTCAATGAATGCGAAATTAAATGCAATTTATTTGCGCGAATGAGATAAAAATTAAAAGTGTAAACACACACGGCTGTATGGATCTGAACGAAGTAGGTGGAGGCGGTGGCGGTGTATTAAATAAGAATACATTTTGTGTGCGTTTAAATCTAGAAAGACACATTTTGTGAAATGTTAAAACGAATAAATTCATTGAAACGTGTATTGTTATTATTAATTTTAAATTTGTTCAGAAAAATATTGAAGAAAATTAAATTAGAATATATAAGCTTAAGCGATATAATCTAAACCTTGAAACGATAGCAGGACTAATGTGAACGAGTTATTTATCATAGCTTATTTGAAGGTGCATACCTAATGTGAAATTTCGAAAATAGCAATTTTCTGTCAAGTAATGAATAATTCGCTAAACATTAAAACTTTACTGAACATTTATTGTGCAGTTGCAATAATTCCGTATAAATTTACTCTCAAAACTTTAAAATTACACTTTATTTTACATTTTTCTATACAATAAAACCAAAACTCACCCCTTTTAGGAGATCTCAATAGGTGTGTACCTTAAAATTCGAAAAATTACAAGAAAAAACATTGACTTCGGTTTAACTGAAGCCAAAATACTCCTTACAAATACAAACCTTACAGAAACTTCATTTTGATCGATCGGTTTGTATGGCAGTTATATGCTATAGTGATCGGATCTGCACAGAAAAATTGCTGCATTGCTTTAGTCAATAATCCATGTAAAATTTCTTGATAAATATCTAGACAAATAAAAAAGTTTTCCATACAAGCACTTTATTTCTTTCGTTCAGTTTGTATGACAGTATATGCTATAGTGGTCCGATATCGACGGTTCCGACAAATGAGCAGCGTCTTCGGGAGGAAACGACGTGTGCAAAATTTCAGATTGATATCTCAAAAACTGAGTTATTAGGTCGCATATATACAGACAGATAGACGGACAGACAGGTGGCCATGGCTAAAGCAACTCAGCTCGTCATGCTGAGCATTTTATTATATATTTCATAGGCTCTCTAACTGTTCTTTCGGGGTGTTACAAATTTTGTGCCAAACTTAATATAAAAAATATATTAGTCTAATTTCTTCACAATATTCATAGCTAAGTCTCTCTTTTCATTAACATGTGTTCGCTTTAATATTTTGATCTTATTGCCACTGATTTGTTAAGTACAAACTAGAATTTCTCTCTGCTTTATTATAAACGCAGATACTTCAGTGCCTTTCCAAAATTTAGCAAAAATATTTAATACAACTTTTTTAACTAGAAATCGATTATAGAAAAGGTTGAGTCCGCAAATGTTGCCTACTTAGCATAATCTTATACAACCATATGGTTTACAGATGCGAGCAGGTATTTTGTTGTAGCATAGTAAATACCATGCAGATAAACTTAAGCATACCCTCGTAATTTGCTTGACATGATATTTTGTACCTAGGCTCCATGGCATCACTCAAACTTTTCTCCTCATTTTCCACTTGTAACCAAAGGCATGAATTTATAATGCTTCCTCAATTTGAAGCAATTTTAACGCAGTGTAGTACTTTTGCTTGTCATCTCGCTACACATCCCACCCAGCACCGTTCCTACCGAGATTTCGTGTACCACCAGTAACGCACTTTTCTACTTGCTGCACAACATTACATTACATGTTAAACGCTTAACTACTTGCGCCATTATTTTTGCTAATATGACCGGGATTATTGCTGTTGTTGTTGTTGCTTTTGTACAAATTTAATTTTATTACGAGAAATGATTAATTTAAAAGATTTCGGAAAATTAATGGTCTTTTGTGCAGTGCGTTTACCAAGGCTTGACGCTTTACTACATTGTTGTTGCTTCTATTGTTGTTCTTACTACTACCGAAGTGTGCCATTAATATATGCCCCTCATTTGCGTTGAGTGTGTGTGTAACTGTGCGTTGGCTGGTTCGCCCATTTCACCGATTTTCATAATGACTTTAATGCCCTGAAAGTATGCCGCAATCTCTTGTGAGCGTGAGTGTTTGTGTGTACTTGCAAATCCGGCGGAGACTGGGTTCATAGCAAGGGCTTGAGAAAGTTTGCCACACAGTTGCCATAACTGCATGTATTGTTGTCAATAGCTTGAATTTGATATCTGGGCGCCATGTGATTTGCAAAGCGGCGTGCAATTTTCTTGCCGCCGTTTATTTCTTAGAATTTGTATTTAACGCACAGTTTGTCCGAGTTTGGCTTGTTATTATTTTTTCTAATATTTCACTTAGTCTTATTACTGTGAGTAAATATACTCGTACATAGAAATATATAAAATATTATGTTGCATTAATTTTCCTCGTTTTTTTTTACAAAATTATTGTGGCCTAGATATTTAAAAATAATTCAAAATTCGGCTGACTTAAATTTAGGGTTACCACCTAAAATGAACATTAAAAAGAAAGCATAATACTTTGTAAGAGGTTAATGTGCCAACAAAATCTTGCCTGACAAAATGTATATATTTTAGTACGAAACAAGAAAAATACATAACTTACGTTGCACCGAAGCCATAATCCTCTACAGAGGTGCATTCTTTATGGCATTAAAAAGTTTAAAAAGATTTTTGTCGTGAATTTGATCATTCAGTTTATATGGCAGCTGTATGATATAGTCGTGCGATCTAACCTATTTCTTCGTATATTGTGTATTTTCTGGTTTGAGTTTGAGGGGTCAGATTGTATGACAACTATATGCTATAGTTGTCCGATATCAGCATCTCCGGCAAATAAGCAAACCAAATATTAAAAAAAATTGCTTAAGGGTGGTATAACATTTTTAATGCACGTGCGAAGTACAAGTAGTTCGTATGGACCATCCATGTCATATTTGAACATAATTGTATACACATATTTAAATAAATATATTCGTTATAGAAAAATAACAATATGAGCGCTGCGACAAAACTTTGAGTGAGAATAAAGTAATCTATTTTCGGCTTATCGGTTACCTATTGAAGATCGTTTACTTCATTCACAAACTACCCGATTGCATGAAATGTAAGTGCGAGTCTCACTCTCATATTCTGACACATAGACCCGATGACAATGAGTTCCGATAAGAAGTCAACAGTTTAATAAACGTACAAAGCACAAAATATTTGGTTGGTGGTGACTTTAACAGCTTGGATCATGTCTAGATGACAGTCTTAGTGATTGCATCAAAGATTAAATTGAAAGAGAGAGTGCAATGAGCGTGTCTAATAGTGGTATTACTACTAGCACTAATGAAGAGAAAATTCAATAGACTCAGTTAATATTAATTTCAGCTCTTTTGTATAAAAAAAAAAATATATGAGGGTATGCATATTCGGAAGTACCCTGAGGCTGCTTACCCAAGCTCCTGATATTTATAACGCGCTGCATTTTTCTCATTGAAGATAATTTTATACTTTAGTTTATAAATACATACTTATATGTATACATATGTACTTCCGTATTATTACATTTCTGGCAGCGCATAAATAAACTCAGCATATTCATTAATTTCGCTTATGGAGACCTAAAAACAACTGTGCATACATACACACGCATCATACACATATACACATATAATATATTGCTATTTAATTTGTGTGCAAAGTTCGAATGAATCACTTCCCAATGTAATTGTATTTTAGTGCTGTTCCGGGCGATAACGATTGCAAGGCAGGCGCCGAGCGCTGACGGATCGTATGACACATAATTGTAGGCAACAAAAAAAAAATTGAAACTATACCGTAAATCTAAAAACATTCTAACGATTGAAGTAAAATAAATTGTTGTTCCTAAACAGAAATATTATAAATAAAAAAAACAATAATTTTCAGTTTTTAGTTGAATGGATCAACGGCGATAAGACCACAAAAGAATAAGATTAAACCGCACACTTTGAATTAATGCCGAGTTTAGCAGACAAACTATATTTTGTTTTCATTTTGAAGATTTGGAAACCAAAACAAATATTTCTCAACTGGTGGTTCAGTGATATCTCTTTTGAGATGTGGGGTTTCGTGCAGATGAAGACGATCAATATATGTTATATTATTCTATGCACATTAAAATCCTTATCTAACGAAACTATTTATTTAATTCGCGGCTAGTTTCTGTGCATAAACTCTGATATGCCACTATCTTGTTGTTGTTGCTTTTTCGATTGATGCTTCGGGTTTGCTTTAATAGGAATACTTTAACACTATGCTCTTTGTAGTTTAATTGTATTTTTGTAAATTTTCAGCATTCATAAAATCATGCATTTTTAAAAAGTAAAATATTTCGTTGCCAGAAATATTAGTTCATCGGGCAGTACTATATTATTTAGGGTTATATGACGAAAATATCTAGAGGTTCCACTCCATAAGAACTGCAGTTGCTCTTAGCAGATCAGGTGTTATTTTGATTGCTTAACGATTTGCACGTCTCGAATTTCACTTGATGCACATTATGAGTAGCTATTATATAATATTATATTATATATAGAAAATCTCAGTTATACACAGTTATGAAGCATGTTGGCATTTAGTTTTGAGTAAGTCGTCTCTCCACATCATTGAAATCAATTAATTTAATGATCCAAGCGAAAGCTGTAAATCCATATTTATTTATGGTTGATAGGAAATTTTTTAATTTGACAACGCCAAGGGAACCAGATTTTATCTAAACCTTCTATTACAATTCCGATCACCAACGGTTGTACTGAAATTTCCTATGGGGTTCATGGCACAACTCGGAACGTGCTTGGTTGTGTAGAATCGTGTGCAAAGAATATTAAAGAAAAGACAAAGTCGCTAGTGCGACTACTGTACTGCAGCATTAACAAACTAGCCGATAAGCAGAGCTGAGGATACCAGCACAGAATTGAATTAATTGACGATCAGTTTGGATTGAGTGCTCGACACGCTTAGAAGTGCTGCGATTCATTTAGCCACATTTTTATATATAAAAAAAGTTTTATATATAAAATAATTACAAAAATTAAAGTTTCTAAATAATAATAATTTAAATTGTAAGGATTACAAAGGCTTTGTCTACCACATATAAATAAATAAAATAAGATCCGGAAGGTTGACAGCGCACAAATCATGTCACGCTACGAAAACCAAGTGATCCTCTCGATCTTTTTGTTGATCCAACTGACGACGTTGTGTCTAAGCGGTGCATCCAGTACTACTTCGACGGTTAGCAGCGGGTTCGTGGGCGACAGTTCACTTGATCTGAATAATAAAAACTACTATTGCCTGCGGAATGTAACCTATTATGAGGAGATAGCTGTGGACAAGACCCGCGAAGTGGAGATTAAACCGAGCGGCGCCTTCAAATGGTTCAAGAAGAGCAAAACACAGGTGGAGCACTACGTCGATATGGTAAAGGTGCCACATCAGCGACTAAAGAACGACTGCTGCGAAGGTTACGCGATGGCTGCCAATAAGACTTGTCTGCCAGTTTGCGAGCCCGCTTGTCCGACCAACGCCTTCTGCCATGCACCCAAAATGTGCCAGTGCCGACGTGGCTACGACGCTGTCAAGTCGGCGCTGAATGGCACACACTACTGCGAACCGCGCTGTGCGTCCGGTTGCCCCTATGGTGGTAAGTGTATGGCGCCAGAAATGTGCGAGTGTGCACTCGGCTATCGCGCCCATGCGGGCAGTTGCATACCCACTTGTGCTTCGGATTGTTTGAACGGACGTTGTATAGCGCTGAACCAGTGTAGTTGCGATGCGGGCTACGCTAAGGACTCGGCGACCGGTGAATGTGTGCCATTGGTGGACTGTGGTGTGGTGGATTGCATAGAAACGGCAAACACTACTGAGAGCAGCGACGGCGTTGAAGGGACGATAAATAGTGTAACAGCGCTAAATATAAACGAGTTCGACACGACCGAAGCTGAGCTGGTGGCTACCGGCACCGACGAAAATGCCATCACTGGTAATCCAGCATACAACAACTCTGATAGTGATGGTGATGATGACGATATTGTACTTTTTCCCAGCAACGAGGAGGAGACGAATTGTACACTTCAGCCCTGCATCGGTAATACTGCATGCAAATTGGTTGGCAGTTGCGCATGCGCTGACGGCTTCATACGCCACCAACCGGCACCAGTGAATAGTGTAGAGGTGGGCCCCATTTGTATGACAGCCAGCGACCAGGATGGGCTCACAAATAAACGCGATGCTGATGGTGGTTGGACAGCTAGATTCTTTATAATTGTAGGCGTGGCGGTGATGATGTGCGCTTTGGCTGTGTTGTTCGTAAAGTTGTGGCGTCACCAGCATGGCTCTTTAAATGTGGAAGGTGAGCGCGAGTCATTTTGGTGAATTTTTCTTTAAAGATTCATTGAAAGCGAGTGCATATTCATTTAATGGTCGTTATTTATGTTATATTTTTTGCAGGGAAAACCGAACCGTGTTGTAGATATGATAAAAATAGTACAAGCTCAGACAGCGGACATGTGGACATGTGCTGAGGGATGGATGTGTAGTTAAGATTCATTGTGTATGTACGTATGTACTGTCTCTCTTTCATTTTTAAGCTTTAATATGTTAATAATATGCCATAATATCATTTAGTTGTTATAAAAGTTTATTGTATATATAAAACATAAAAATAAATAAGTAGATAAGTTTGTATAAAATATTATTTTCGTTTATTAAACTTTTTACTGTCTTCTTAAAAGAGGTTGAGTTTTGTGAAAAGTCGGTGGGTATTAATCTCAAACGCTCCATCGCCTCGGGGTTAGATGGAACAAAAGAACCAGATGTATAAAAGTGTGGAAGTTATTATTTTTATATTTATGGCGTATGCCATTTATATTTTAAATGATATAATTTAATAGTATCCATTCTTTGTTTTTATCCTAAACTTTAGGATACTGGAGACTATTAGGAAAAACTATGAAATTTGCTTTCTAAAACTGACGATATAACTCTCGATCGTTCCGGTTACCTATGTTAGACCCGTCTGTTGTATGACGAAGTATGTTAGGCGATGTTAGTCAGTGTTAGAAATCGCTCTTCGCTTCTCAAAAATTTGATTCAATGCTCGTTTGCAATTCACAATTTATTTCAAACTTTTTTATTTATCCAAACCCGACATGCTATAAGGGTCTAAAAGTGTGTGTAAAAACTAAATGCCAATTATTTCTTCCATAATATTTTACTAATAAATAAGTACGAAAAGTCTTAAGCTAATCAAATAATGTTCATAATTTTTTCTGAGAAGTGATTAATACTAACTAATATCGGAACTCTTTGAATGAAACAAAGAAAAACTCATATTTTTGCGTCAAGCAATCATAAATTATTTGTGCTTTGTTCGAAATTAGTATTATAATCGGGCGGCGCAATAGGAACGTTTTTGAATGTTCAGATATTATTTATCAGCGCAAGTTTTAATTATTAATTTTTATTCTAAATACACTCGGGTCTAGTTTTTTATTGAAATATGATAAAAACAGTTTATTTGGTTTCAAGTTATACCTGCGTTTGTATGCGTGAGTGTCAAAGTGTGTATTGGCTGCATAATCCGGTAGGAAAAATACTGCGACTCAATGAATTAAGAATTACTCAACTACACTCAAAATACAAAAATTAAAAAAATTCTAAAATTATTTTATACCCACAGTTCTATTATTTCCAAATTTATCCTTAAATTTAATTAGAATTTTTGTTGTCTATCCTACCATCACACGCTTTTCATGACGAGTCACATATTTCTTCACTACACGCTACTTTCCAGCATAATCTCATAGTTTACATTCACACACACAATTGTTCTTTAATTGAAAGATTTTCTGAACCCTCACTTCAAGAAGTGATAAAAGCAGACACCAAGCATTGTTCCATGTCCTTCGATATTTGGCGTCAGAGCAGGACAGCAATTGCATAAGTGAGGGTTCAAACGCTATGTGAGTGTATGCTGCACCTATGCTATGTTTTGCGGTAAATGTCGACTACCTGCTGTCTAAAATCAAAAACGCATTAGTGGCCAATATAGCTGTGTCTACCAGTTAATATGCGCATAGCTCGCTTGTCACAGATTTTAATACAAATGCTATCTTTGTATAGTTTACTAAATTCTTAGCAGCATTAACAGATAAAGGAACCAGCATTTTATTTACATATTCGAAAATATGATAGTTATTACTAAAGGTCATTTTTGGTGCTTGGGTTCGGCGAGTATATCGCAGCGAGACTCATACTGTGTTGTAAGAGAATAATACATATAGTGTGTGCGTGCGATGAAGCCGAGAAGAAGGAATGTGCGTATTTGAAATGTCTATGCAGTAAAGAATTTGTTTGTGATATTAAAAAAACACTTTAAAAATGAGTTTCGTTTTATCGCACTTGCAGTGGAGCTGCTAAATTTTTAATACCTAGTAGTAATGAATATCGTAATATTGTAAAATGTTTCTTCAGCACATATTGTATATGACTTTTTGAAATATTTAAATTTTCAGAATTATATTTAAAGACCTCAAACTGATATATTTTAAAATGCAGCACTTGTAAAATGATATTTAAGTAGTCAACTTGCTGCGAAAGACTCATTGAACTGTGAAATAGGACACAGATTTTACGCTTACTTTTACATACATCCAATAATATGTAAGCACGTTGTTTAATGAAATTCCCACCAATCATTTCCTATTAAAGCAACAGCAGCTGTCACACTCAAACAAATGTCCGCCCACAAAACTTCAACCACAAATAAATTAAACTTGTCAGTGAGAGAGCGCTTAGACGGCGAGGCAAGCTATCGCCGTACTCGAGAAGTCCCAAGTGAAATGGGTTGAGGAGAATTATATTGATAAAATTAGTAAATAGACAAAAATAAAATTATCATCAGCCGAATGAAAGATTTTAAAAGGAATAAGATGGCGTATAGAATTTTTAAATAATGCTATGTATTAAAAGGCAGTATATTTAATCACTTACTATATAAAATGTGAAAATCTTATATGTGTTATAATTCAACATTTTATTCAAGCAATATATTTATAAGCATACACTTACTTGCTTTACGCTATAAATTCATGTAAGTTGAATGCTTTTGTGGAGACGAAATTTGACAGCCTGTTTGCAGAAAGCGCTGACGTTCGTCATTGTACTCGCTGTCTACATCACACAAAGGCTTCAGCGAAGACCATTGCTCGCCAATTTACTGGCGCATGAGAGTTTCGATGGATGGTTGTGAAATATAAATTTCCTGTATATAACTATAGCTGCTATTTATACCTTATATACAATATATACATATACACTTTCGAGCGGCACATGATTGCTTTAAGAGGTTACATGGGTTGTAACTTACAAAATAATTTTTTTAGATTATTTTGCTTTAATTCAATTGAAAGCCGATCCGAGGCAAATTCCAGATATATAAAGTTTAAAACTTTTATTACAGTCGACTCGACCCGACCGACTTTAAACGTGTTTTCTCAAAACTGCTTTTTGAAGTCGGTAGTCAAACTTCTCGATAACTTATTAACCGATTGACTTAAATTTTGCATGCATCTTTCTAAATGTTTGACAACTGCTTGACAGGTTTTTTTTCATATTTACAATTCAGTTGAGAGGTGATTATTACGTAATCAAAATAAATTTTTAAAATCTTTTTTTTAATTTATGAATCTATGTGTGTATTCCCATTTGGCTCAAAATTTTGCTTAAGAAATGTACTTTTCACTCTTAACCTTTAAAATTTTATTATTTTCTGTGTGAACTTAATAATATGTACATGCCTCGATCTCTTTTAATATTTTTATTTTCCAACACATTCTTATAATGCTCCAAGCCATTTATTTGGTAAATATATTTAAAATTTTCAAAATTTTAGTTTTTGCAAAATTAGAACTTAAGTGTCATACTCAACACGCCAAACTCTTTAATATATAATGCCTGCTTGGTTGTATAATGTATATTATTTCTTAACTTACACACTCACAGAATTATAACTTTCTCGTTGTCATTTTTTGTGGCAAACAAAGCGAAAGCAATAAGGAAGAACTTCAAAACGCAACAAGTAGAAAGTTAAACAAAAACCACAGCCAAAACAAAGAAATTTGTTGCAAGTGACATAATGAAGGAAGGTTCTAGCTGTTGCACAGCCATAAACGGCTACATATACATATGTATGTGTGTGCATGTATATGTTGTGGCATATTATTCATACACATATGTTTTGGCGCGCTGATACAATAGGCGCGCCAACGCGCAGAAATAATAAAAGTACGACACACACAGGCACATATTAATATAATAAATTGTGGTATAATAGAGCGCTGCAGCCACCGCTGTTAGCGGGTGCTTGTGCAGGTGTTGGAGTTAATTTTGTATATTTTAGTTACTTCGGTTTAAGTAGGGGATTTCGTTATATTTTTGGTCTAGAACAATTAAAAGAAATACAAAAAAAAATAAAATCATTACCATTTTGAACGTGTGGTTCATGAAATACTATTCTTGGACTGTCACACAAATATGCATCCCAATGTACAATAGCTACGCTTTTCATTCAGGCCAAACTCGCTTGAAGTAAAGTATCTTTTTCATATTTTGATTAAATTCGACACAGCGAGCTTTTTCGCCAATTGCCTGCTTACCCTCCCTTCAGCCATTGCCCGCTACTTTTCTCTAAGCTAACGTAGAGCGCTCCATTTTCTATCGGAAATCGCTGTGTGACAACCGGACATTGCTACGCTCGTTTACGCCTTCAAAATGTCTGTGAAAGTACACAAGTGAAAAAAACAGGACGAAGCATTTATAAGCAAACGGCGGCGATGCATGGAACGTGTTTTGAGCAGCGGGTGGCGTTTAATAAGCAATGGTGAGAGGGGAGCTTCGGGCTCAGCGTGTCGCATTTATATTTAAATGAAATTATTTCTTCATGCAAAAGCGACGAAGACATAAAATAAATGGGAAAGGAAGGGGAGAGACGTTAATGAGAATATTTTAAAATTAACTGTCAATTAGGGTGTACTTAAAGAAACGAGACTTGAAATACTTTAAGCTGCCTCAACTCATAGAAAATATGAGGGAAGTATTAATGAAATATAAATCAGGCATATCGCAAAGTTTTCCTCAAATGTCTCATAATTTTATTTTAATTATTATATATAAATAAAATACTTCCTCGCAGGCAGTTATACTTCCTCGCAGGCAATCAACGAGACTTCAAACAAGAGAACGCACTTACAACATTTTTTTTACTGTTACATTTTTTTACTGTTAAAACATGAGTTATGTATGGCTGTATAGATATTTTCTTCGGATATGTACTATCTTCACTATGTCACTAGAGCAAAGGCAAATTATGACTTTGGTTTGGCAAATACCCTTTTTACTACTTTTGATTGTATACGAGGATTGCCTTTTATTTGGCGGAATATGCAACCCTAGTGCGCAATCTGGCAACTCACAACTTCATCGTAAAGTTTGACAATTTATGTTATACATACTCTGAACGTTTCGACATATGAGCGATATTGTGTTGTTTACAGTAACTTAAAAAATTCATCTCGGTGAAAGATGAAATTAAATCGAAAACTGATTTGCGGATTGTTGTGTGACCTATCTTGAGATTGAGACAACTATAGTAACTAGTGGGACCAGCACATTCTATATTGCATGAACATTTGA